AAAACCGCATACGGCGAACGGACGTGTGATACAGATTTTATAGTGCACCGGAACATTGTTCGCACGCTGATGCTCGGCGGCCGTACGCATGCTAGCCGACTAGTGCAAGTACCGTAAACTGATACGTAAACGTGCTCGATTTGTACATGAAGTGGAACCACGTACGAATCACGCTACGCTCGTGATAATGAAGTAGGCTGTGTTGGGGGCCAACACTTATGTGGGGTCGGATCGCAGACTAAAACATGGCGAAAGGCAGACGGCACTACCGCATATTTACGGATATTGGCCAAACGACGATACCACCTAGTCGTCCGAACTTGAAGACATGTGGGTACCCGTCAATTAGCAACCCACGCAGTTTATTTACTTGTGCCTCAATACGAGAATTACCACCCAGCAGCATACATTCTATAGCTCATTAGTCGCTTATAAGCATCCCGCCGGGAAAAACAATTCTCTTTGCTAAACACCCGTAGCCACAACATGTGACGTCATCTTAACCGAATTCGAGGCTATTTATTGCTTGCCAAACCAGTTTAGCGTTTGGCGCCAGAATTACCTGATTTACGGATTTCAATTAGACATTTCTTAGTAATTAGCGCAGTGATATTGGACAAACTAATACGCGTTTGGCTATAAGGAATGCTACTTATTGGAACTACAGAAGGTGCAGTTACCTGTAGCTTCTTTCACTTGCATAATCAATGGCCTATTATGCCCTTTAATAGTCTCACACATCAGCAGTGTGCGTAATTTTTAATGTCGGAATAAACTGAACAATAAAGAATTAGAGATTTTTTGTACCAAATGCATGTAAAATGAATCACAAATATGCTCTTGTGAGTGGAATTTCAAGTGCGGTATCGGTTGGTGCACAGGCACTTGAAGCCGTTTCAATCAAAATATAAGTGCCCCTAACTAATACGAAAAGTTTATTTACTTACCAAATTTCTTAATGTATTCTATACTCTCTTTCCCTATTATTGCGACAGCTTTTCCTGATAATTCCGTCTAAATTCCTACGTGCAACGCTACCAAAATCCTACGCTGCAGCCACCATTGCTCTCGCGGCCTCCACTGTGCCGCAGCTCAGGTCACTTAATATATATTAGCTGTAACATATTAGAGTGTAATATTATAGTAACACAGTATACAGTATATAGTAATTAGTAACATAGTAATACAGTATAGTGTAACTATATAGTGTAACTATATATTATATTAGTGTAAGCGTGCAACAGTGGAGCCGCGAGAGCAATGGCGGCTGGCAGCGTAGGATTTTGGTAGCGTTGCACGTAGGATTTGGACGGAATTTACAGGAAACTGTAGGCAATAATAGGTGAAAGAGAGTATAGAAACATTAAGAATTTGGTAGTAAATAGATTTCGTATTTAGTTATCATTATATTTTATTGAAACGCTTCAAGTGCCTGTGGTCCTGTGCATCCGATATCGCAAGGGTCATACATTTGCATTGTCATACACGGTGCGTTTTGGACGTACGTCCTAGGTACGTCTAGGACGCATATATCGTGTAAATAGGCATTGAGTTGCCATCGGCTGCGAAATACTCAAACGATGGCTATCTCAGAAGCGATGAGTGACACGATTTAATTGCATGTGTGTTCCGAAGCTCTGCGACCGGTGCGTTTTTTTTTCACGGCGATGGATTACGCGTACGGATTAAATTTCGCATGCACAGACCGCATACAATACAAACTCACAGGCAGACACCACTCAACATCCACGCGCACGCACGCACGTAGGCCTATACGCACTGACGCACAGGCACACCCACAGACATGCGTTCATGAAAATATAGAGATGTATATTATACGCACCAAATTCTTAATGTTTCTATACTCTCTTTCACCTATTATTGCTGACAGTTTCCTGTCAATTCTGTCCAAATCATATGTGCAACCATATACAGTGCCAGCGACATTGCTCTGGCGGCTCCACTGTGACTGTTGCATGCTTACACTAGTATATATTATATAGCAGGTAGGAAAGCGGGATCGCAAAATTCGCTTGACTCTCGCTGGATCTCACACTTTCACAGCCCGAATACACATCCAACAGCTGCCATCTTTGTTTCTATGTCAAGACAAGTGTTCACTTGTTATAAAAACATACTGTCTCTGTTCGTAACCGAGCTGTGTCATGCGAAATCACACAAAGACTGACGAAATTCTCGCGTTCGCGAATCTTGCCCCATAATGCAAATGGCTGTCAGAATCAGGGCTATATATAGACTGGGACTCGCTCTCACCTCGATTACCCATCGAGTGACTAAGCTAAGCCGAGAGGTGGGAGCGAGTGCCAGTCTATGGACTATAGGCGGCGCGCAGGTGGCGCACTGCTTTCCAACTCCCGTACGAGCCTCGCCATTGGAACGTTGCAAAAACGTTGCAGCGTTGCGGCGCAAGAATGAGGTCACGAAGAGCGCCGGTAGGTGTTTCCTGATTCTGACAGCCATTTACATTACGGGGCAAGGTTCGCGAACGCGAGAATTTCGTCAGTCTTTGTGTGATTTTGCGTGACACAGCTCGGTTACGAACAGAGACAGTATGTTTTTCTAACAAGTGAACACTGTTCTTGACATAGAAACAAAGATGGCAGCTGTTGGATGTGTATACGTGCTGTGAAAGTGTGAAATCCAGCGAGTGTCAAACGAATTTTGCGATCCCGCTTTCCTACCTGCTATATATATTAGTGTAAGCGTGCAACAGTGGAGCCGCAAGAGCAATGGCGCTGGCAGCGTATATGGGTGCACGTAGGATTTGAACGGAATTGACAGGAAACTGTCGGCAATAATAGGTGAAAGAGAGTATAGAAACATTAAGAATTTGGTAGTAAATATATTTCGTATTTAGTTAGCATTATATTTTATTGAAACGCTTCAAGTGCCTGTGGGTTGGTGTTAGTGTTACTGTGTGCCAGTTACCGGTACTGTTACTGTTAGTGTTAGTGTTAGTGTTAGCGTTAACTCTGTTACTGACATTGTCAGATGTAGTGTGTTACTTAATTTTGTGCTTAAATTTAATGTTTTACAGTCTGAATTTGCCACCGAATTACTAAGTTAACTCTCCAATAAGTTGAACTCCACCACGTTACTGATGGCAAGTCAAGACTCAAGTGCTTTGGTTCAATGCATCATTCTGACATTTCATTGCATGATTGCCGTCACCCGGTGGCCCCGAAATTAGGCTGTCATCCACGGAAATACATGACCATGGCTGCCCTGCCTGTTTGTCTCAATGTCCTTCCCATCAATTAAATTATGAGTATGTAATTTATCCATCTTTTCCCCATGTAAAAAGTTGTTAAAAAATATGTGGCCTTGATAACCCTTCTTTGAAATTGAAGGAAATGTTTACCTTTGCCCACCACCCCTTTACTAGAGCCAACTTACTGTAGAGTAGTAGCCTGAGTAATTTCTGTATAAATGAATGATACCCACCCACGGCCACCTAAATTCCCCTTTGCACATTTTTTTCTTACACCATAACGTTCGACATTCCTTAAACGAATTGATTGATTGTCTGTTGGGTAATCAGTAGTCTAGTATTTAAGTTGGTTTGTAACGAAACTTCAGTACCGGACACTGACAGTTGATAGGTAGCCAAATGGGACTATGATATCATTTGTGCTACCACAAAATTACAAGTAAGCTGATCGTTAGTGGCCAGAACATACATTTTCCTTCAATTGTAACTATTGAAATATATCTGTCAAAAACCTGAATAATGTGATAATTAAGAAGATTTCATAACATTGTTTGATGTTCAGCATTTGTATACTATATATTTTCCAAGCATCTTAGAACACACTTTATTTGTTGTGTTAACTTGGGCAAATCATTGATAGCAGGCATCATATAATGTGTTCAATTTGGAGGCAACTTGAACTGTGTATTTGATAAACGATCCAGACTAATTGGAACAAGTACTCAAGCTAGTACCAGCTGTTAAAAACATCCGGGGATTATTTCGAGATTTATTTGTAGTAAAATTAATAAAAGATATCAATAATCATTTTGGGCCAATAAAAATTCTTACTCACCCAAAAGTAATTTTCGGCTTGGACTTTCATAGATGTCTTGTATCCAAAAACATTTATGTGATTTAAGTATTTAAAATGGTTCGTTTCTGTGATTGAGTTTATGTTAATTTCGTAATATGTAAGTTCATGCTTTTTACACATACACATTAATTTACAAGCAAAGTTAGCGCATGTATGTGCGTATATACATATCATATACGTGCACTCAATTTTAGGCACATGTCTAGAGATAGATACATGACCTTGTACATGGTACGTACTGTAAAAGGCGGGTTGCACACACACAAGATTAGAAATTTGTATCCCAACCGCCAAGATAAAAACGTTACTCTAGCTGTGTCCCAAAAGTGGTGATAGCAACTCATGGTCTGTAGATATACTGGTGTGTGGCAGGAACTGATCAGTGTCCTGCTTTGAGTGATGTTTCATGTGTAGTTGCAACACTGCTGCTGGCTGTGAGTGTATAAGAGTATATGGGTGTGTCAGGCTTTTAGTGAGTCAACTCGAGTTACTTGTAAACTTAATTAATGAGTGACACTGTGTGATGGTGATAGGCAATATGTTTTTAAACACTAGTTGATTTATTATCTTGTGTATTATGACTATTAGCATGAGCATATATATGGTATAGAAGCGTTCAAGTTAATATTAGAAATACTGTTAAAAGTGTTAATGCATTTAGCAAGAATATTTAGCCTGCCTATCTATCTTGGTGGTGAATTGGGTCGTACTAACTACTAATGCCATAAACATGTGGCCATGTGCTGAGCCTGAATATATATGTGTTACAATAATTTAAAAATAGAAGATGACTATAGGTCCACTTATATCTGGTATTGCCAGTGGTTACTAATATTGCATCATGTGTATACACACTCAGGGGTAGAAATTAACTTTTGAACAAGGGAGTCCAACGGATTCCCTACCCTCAAAAAGTGGGAGTCTGCAGCAAAATGAGGCAGTCCGCAGTCTGAGGTTCAAAATTAAAGCAATAACGCATGTGCATATTTTTAGGATTCATGCAGTTGTACGTCTGCCAAATTTTCTTTGGAAATTAGCTGAAAAAATACAGTTATTCAACGAGGCCGTGCTCCGGAACGAACTAGTTTGTATGGCAGAATTTTCAGGGAGTCACACGGACTCCTGCATATGTCAAAGCAGGGAGTCCGACAGTAAATCAGGGAGTATTTGACTCCGGACTCCCGTTAATTTTGCACCCTGCGCACTGTTCATAGGCCTCAACCCAAATAGGCTCTCAAGTATTTCTGTGTTTAGCAACAATCTTATGATGAAACTAAAGCCTGACAAACTAACTGCTTGCATATATGCATATATACATGTATGTGTGTGTGTGTGTGCGTGCGTGTGTACGTAAACTAAAAATCTTTGTCTTGTTTACAATTTCACAGGTTTGTGCTCTGGTGATATCTGCTGTCCACCAGTATGCAGACGATAAAGTGTGTAGTTGTGGGGGATGGAGCCGTTGGTAAAACGTGCCTGCTGATATCGTACACAACCAACAAATTCCCATCGGAGTACGTACCGACAGTAAGTACCCACAGTATTATCAGCTGATACCTTTTGTGCTAGAATTGTGAAAGATAAGCATCGCTGGGTCCATACATGATGCGAGAAATATTGTGAAAGGTTGATATCCCTGAATGCACAAGCTCTATTTGCCAGCTGCTAGCCATGCTGCTGGACCATTTTGGTGTGCGAGTTCGTTCGTTTCCAAACTGTGAAACAGGTATTCCTAGTGGTAAAAATTTAGTTATAGATAATTGTCATCGTTCATTCTCGAAACCCCAGGCACTGCTGGTGCACTCATCTATTGTAACAGCCTAAAGTTTATGATGTATATCATATATATATATATATTATGCACCACATTGTATTTTCTGTCACGGCCTTGAAAGGTAGAGAGACGCATTCGTTCTAGCTTAAGCATTAATGGTCCACTACATCATATATAGTCTGCGATGACGTTAGTATACCCCGGCTATATGACTCGGCATCTGTCTCATCGCCATGACTACGACATGCTGTTGGCTTCTTACTACTTCATCAGTTGGGATGACAGCAATGTTGGCGTGACACTGACAGCAGGAGTAATCATATCAACACGCAGGTGTTTGACAATTACGAATGGTGTCCGATAGTCCTTAATCTGGCCTTCGTAAGACGTTAAACCGGGAAACAAACGGTCAAGCGCTCAGCTGACAGTCAACTAATGTGACTGCGAGGCTGTCGTGTTAATGGCGTCGCGTTGACGTGCTGCAGGTGTTTGACAACTACGCGGTGACGGTGATGATCGGCGGAGAGCCGTACACGCTGGGTCTGTTTGACACGGCTGGACAGGAGGACTACGATCGGCTGCGCCCGCTCAGCTACCCGCAGACGGACGTCTTCCTCGTCTGCTTCTCCGTCGTGTCACCGTCGTCGTTCGAGAACGTCAAGGAGAAGGTAACTGTGGTGACGTGATGGATGTCAAGGCGTGTCAGACGTAGTCGCATGTAAGCCTCATCTGAACGAGCAAAGTTAACCTATGAGATATGCAGCTGCATACTACATGCATGTTTTATAGACACAGGTTACGTGAAACCACCTTCTCAAGGTAAACCAGATGTGAGTTATATGAACTCGGCAAGAAATAAAAAATGTGTCTATGTACGTGTACGTAATATAATATATATATATATATATAAATTATCACGAGCGTATTAAGAAGGAGAGCGTACACCGGTGAAATGCTGAAACCATGCTGCAGTATTAGTGGAATTAATAAATTTTGCCCGTTTTATTTTGACGATTCTTTGTGGTATTATTGATCAGCTGTCCTACCTTGCTAATATAAAACAAACTGCTGTCCTACGATGCTCTACGCTGAGATAATGAGCGGTGAAAATCTGGTATTTTTGCCGAAAACCCGACTCGGAGTATGTAGTGGTGCGACTGTCTCTCGTTCTGGCGATAGCTTTGGGAAACTCGCGTTTTCCGTCATTCGTTGACAATGAAATTTCTTTTCCTTCTACTATTTTTTCTCGCATTTCCAGTCATTGACGCAGCCATTACTCACAAAAACGTCTTGTTATTTATCCGCAATGGTGATGACCCGCCCCTTACGCTGGATGTATTAACGCTGTAGTAATAACGTATCGAGTCAGCGCTACACAGTGGTGACCGGAAGCAACATACAGTCCACAAAACGAGAGGCAGTCGCAGCCACTACGTATCTCGAGTCGGTTTTCGGTGAAAAGACCAGATTTTCACCGCTCATTATCTCAGCGTAGGGACATCGTAGGAAATTTTGATAATTCTTTGCTGTATTATTATTCAGCTGTCCTTCCTTGATAATGTAAAACCAACCGCTTGTAAAACTCGTAAAGTTTACTAATTTCACTGAAACTACAACATGGTTTTTGCATTTCACCATTGTACGCTCTCCTTCCTAATACGCTCTTGAAATTATATATATAATATATATATATATATATGTATGTAGATATGTGTGTGTGTGTGTGTGCGTGCGTGCGTGCGTGCGTGCGTGCGTGCGTGCGTGTCTGCGCGTGTGTGTGCGGTTCCTCTTTGCGCTCGTTGATGAATGCTTGGTGCTTTCAGTGGGTACCTGAGATCACTCATCACTGCCAGAAGACGCCGTTCCTGCTCGTCGGCACGCAGGTGGACCTGCGCGATGACCAGTCCGTGCTCGACAAGCTGGCGAAGAACAAGCAGAAGCCGATCGCGCTCGAGCAGGGCGAGAAGCTGTCCAAGGAGCTGCGTGCGGTGAAGTACGTCGAGTGCTCGGCTCTCACGCAGGTAGGTGGCAGCACCGTACGATGTCAGGTCTCGCTAACTGCTGCAGGTTGTTACGTTACGTCGTTGCTTTACTTGCCTCGCTCGGTGCATCTTATTTAGAGGTGTGTTTTGGGTAGGATGTAGCGTGCTATACGTTTTTGTTCCAACTGTCACAATCAGGAATACGGTAGCAAAAAAGCGTGCTAGGTTAGGTGAGTCTTTTGACCAGTCCTGGGGTTTGATGGCTACTACTCCATTAGTTGGTAGGTTTCTACGTACATTTGTGTATAATCACTATATATGAGTGTGTGGCCAATGTGTAGAAATGTTCGCTTAGCTTTATAAAACCAATGTCCGAATCTAGCAGGACATGCAAAAGGTAGCAAACTTGCTTCTTGACGCTGTAAACATATCCCTGTGCCATGTATGCCTAAACTTCTATTGCTAGGTGCCAATTGCTGGTTAATATTAGACTTTTCAATGTTCCTTCCTTGTTTTCACAGAAAGGACTAAAGAATGTATTTGATGAAGCCATACTTGCAGCACTCGAACCACCGGAACCCCCTAAGAAGAAAAAGTGCATCATCTTATAAACGAATGTGGCTCGTGCCAGTCGGCTGATTTTCTCTCTCAGTTATCGTTATGTGTCGTCTTCTTTTCGACTCAACCTTCCTCTTCTCTACAGTATTTGTCTTTAAAGGTTGAAGGTCGTAAGTCTATGTCAGTTGAAGGCGTTGATTTAGCCGTTCGCGTGTGGCTTAGACACTGGGTCGTGCAGAAACGTCGGTAAATTGAGGTGAAATAAATGTGATTGCTTACTTGCTGAGAGAGCAAGCAAGACCAATGTAAACGGTAAAATTTACGAGGACAAATGAAGCTCCGCTTGGTATCCTTGGTACCGTCTAAGCAAGTTTCACGTGCTTCCTGTCATTCAACCATTGTTAAAAGCAGACAAGAGCTTTAATGATCTCCAGTGATGATGCATCCAAGGCTGGTACCCGACCTATGCTTAATGACCCACGATGATTAAGCTAGGGTAGCATTGAGTGTTCAGATCCATACTTCGTGTCTGGCTTCGATTGGTTGCCGAATCACCTCTGGACTGCCATCATATACAATCTGTATACATGTGATTGCTTTGCTTGTGACGCACAAAGTGCCAGCCACACTGCCTCACCCATCCTTCTCTATTTCCAATCATTGTTTCCCATTTCCGTGACCAACGTCTACACACGCTGCTTTCCTTGGCTATGGCACTGCCTAGGAGGCCGTAAATTAGCCGAGAATGAGTGAAATGAACCGACAACCAACCATTCAACCCTTTACTATTGTTATTCAGATAAGAAGAGACTTTACCACCTTGTTGTGCTTATATGTCTAACGGCAGTAGTCTCCGCAGTGCGTTTCAACCAAACGTAAGTTAGGATAAGGTCCCGAGATGCGAATTATCTGTAAAAAGTAGGACCTGACCTAAAGTGACACTGAGAATGGTCCTGGCCTAGGATGACACTGAGAATGGTCCTGACCTAGGATGACACTGAAAATGGTCCTGGTCTAGGATGACACTGAGAATGGTCCTGACCTAGAATGACACTGAAAATGGTCCTGGCCTAGGATGACACTGAGAATGGTCCTGGCCTAGGGTGACACTGAAAATGGTCTTGACCTAGGGTGACACTGAGAATGGTCCTGACTTAGGATGACACTGAGAATGGCCCTCACCCAGGGTGACACTGAAAATGGTCCTGACCTAGGATGACACTGAGAATGGTCCTGGCCTAGAATGACACTGAGAATGGTCCTGGCCTAGGATGACAATGAGAATGACCCTGACCTAGGATGACACTGAGAATGGTCTTTGCCTAGTATGACACTGAGACTGGTCCTGACATAGGATGACACTGAGACTAGTCCTGACATAGGATGAGCCATGGCCTGCTTCAGCATCACTTATAAACCAGTCTCTTTTTGGTTGTCGTGGACCAACATGTCGCTGTCACTGTCAAGGTCTACTCTCCGTTTCTAGACCTACCTCAGTAGAAATGGTATAGGATTGGAAGATCATGAAGTTATGTGCGCGTGAAAGTTCGTCTACGTCTAGTGTTGTATGTTTAAACGTTATGTGCAAAGGTGTTTCTGTAAGAGCGCTGGTCTTTTGCATTATGGTGGTTTTGTTTCGATGCTCTGAATCTCAACGTTTTGTAACCATCGGAAATCTTTTAAACTGTGAGAGGTCAGTGTCCTCATTATGTTATTGAAATTAAGATGTAATATGGAATTGGGTGCGTGAGTGTATAGAAGATTGTAATTTCGAAGAAATGCTCCTTTCCGTTTTTATTTGTATATTCAGGACCAGTAAGTGTGCGTGATTCTGAAGCTAGTAGAATAATCTTTCCTACTATTCTTGATTAATGAAATACAATGTATAACTTTGTTTGCCGTGCACGTATAGGTAATGCTACACATAGCAAAGCGATAAAAGAAACTAACCATCTAAACACTGTAATCATGAGTGGAATTTCTTGCAATTCCATGCATTTCATCTTGCAATTCAATTTCTTGCATTTCAACTTGCAATTCAATTTCTTGCAACTCGGCTCGCTTGAAAATTCTTGCTTAAATCAGAAATGCTATTTCGTCGGCACGTGTTACTAACATGTGCGTGTTACTTTTTTAATCTACCATGCCTGCCTCAACTGAGCATACGTTCAGTATGCTGCAATGACAGAAAATCAATGTAGTATGTCAGGTTTTGCTTTTATTTAGAAACCACTTAAAACAGTTATTTAAGTTAGTAGAAAACGCAGATATTTCGCCTTTCTACAAAAATGTCAACATACGTGCGTGCTTTTCGATAGGATCTTTATGTTGATTTGCTATTCATGCAGCTTGATTGTGCAGATAAAGTGACTGTGATTGGAACAGCGTAAAATCGCATTTGTTTTAGATCATTGAATAAATTCAACGTTTTTTTATTAAACATATGTTGATACATTGGTTGTTGGTGTCTTGTTTGATCTGAATCGTGGCGATACTGTGTACAGTTTTTATTACAACCACATATGTGATGTAGTGAAATGTTAAGTTTAATCACTCAGTTAATGGGCCCACATCATCACCAGCAGAACAATCAATTCTATTGAGACGTCATATTAACTCGAATATCGACTACTGTTGTCGTAGCACGCTTAGACAATGCGTGACGTACATATTTGACCTGTTTTATTCTACTGAACAGACCGATTTGCACTTTCTTTCTCTTTCTCGCGTGCCTTTGCTTATTTGAATTACGTACTTTGTGCGTTACTTGCTTCTATGTAATGCTATCCCGTCCTAGCTAAGCTTATCCACCGTCTCCAGAAAACAATTCCGCTCGGTGGCGCTGCAGTCAGCTCGCGCAATCGTTTGATAAGGTGTTTCCAGTCACCAGTGCTGGTTCTAGTGCAAGTTCTAATTTTTAATATCGTAAAATATGTTCAGCTTTCGCGTCTACGGCGAAGCGACTCGTCCCCGTTTAGTAAAGGCGTGACTAAAATGTAGTGTTTGCAGGTGATCGTGATCGTGTAGATATATTACAGAAACAAAAATCTGTCTTGATTTCGTGTGATTTTTGTTCGTTTAAACCATTTCATGCGATAATGTAATTCGACGTCGTCAGTTTCCTTAATAAGAATTGCTACTAATTAATCCTAATTAGAACATACGAGGTTATTATTTTGTAATTGGTTTATAAACTTGCTGAATCATGGCTGTAGTTATCACGTATATGATCGCAATCGTTTCTATGAACGTGGCATGATACGAACATCGTGTCATATCTCGTTATTGGATGCCTACCACAACATTTAATATATATATATAATTTATTTGAAACGTTAATTTCTTAAAATCTGTTTGTCGTTTCATAAATCTTTGGGTGTGATAGTTTATTGTCACATTTAGTGACATTATCGCTCGGTGAGTCTGAGTTTCTTCTAGAATGTGCGACGAATCAAGGAACGTACCATTGATACCTTAAATTTGCACAGTGACCTATACTGTACTAAATGGAGGGTTATAAGTAATTCCTCGCGAACCACTTTTGTTTTTACAACATTCGAATGAAAGTGTTTTCGTTGCGCTCAGAATTGACGCATAACCACATTTTTATAAAAAGGAGAGACAGAATGTTGATTTTTTTGTTCTCGATTTTTAAATAAGAAGAGTCTATAGTGAGCATATATACAGAATTTGTTATTACAGTAGAAAATACATCCTTAATTTCCGTATATTAGTAATGCCGGTCAACTGTTGAAGAAAATGTGTAATACACAACGAAATATTTATTATAACACGGACAATAACACGTGTATAGCAGAGCAGGAGAGCACATAACCGTACAAAAATTCGATTGGATGTGTAATTGACAAAAATATGGCATGTACATTATAAGTCTTTCACTATAATATATGTCAATGCTACAGTCAGTATATATATATAGCATCGTACCTGCATTTCATCCTCGTATTAATAAAGAGTAACAATAACACCAGCGCGAATGTCACATATTTAACGTTATTACACATATGACTATGTTACTTGTCTACCACACGCACGTACACACGCTCACACACACGCGCGCGCGCGCGCATATATATATATATATCAACAATATACCACAAAGAGTTCTACTTCTAATTAAGTTCATCAATATAGAGCCTACATATTTTAACATAAGTTTATTTCTAAAACGCGCCTAAAGGCTCAAATCACACCTATAGTTGCGATTAAAAGATATGTGTATATTATACATAGGGCCTACGTATATATATTTACTTAAACATATAACATATAACATAATGACGCTTCTGTAATATTAGACAAGTAGCTGACATTTTTTTAGCAAGATTGGATTGATTAAATATTATTGCACAGATGGCTTGACTGAACAGCAATTTATTTCTATTGCACACGTTTCTAGCACGTGTAAAGAGCATGGTCCTATGGAAGGCGCACTTGTGTAGCGAAATTTCTGGTTAGATAAACTACGTCACTTCTCAGCACTAACATGTATCTTATATTTCTCACATGCCACTTTATCACTAGCAATTGTGTTTATTGATCACTAATATTCTAACGAGGTACTGGGAAGGTGATTATTATATTATATAAGTTGGTAAATTACGAGAGACGATAGCCAGAAACCGCACGAATTCCATTCTAACCACGCGATTGAACGTACGTATTGCATTTGTTATTCGCTATTCAATTCGGCGTAATAAAAAAATTTCCTGCCAATGTATTTGAGATATCCGAAAATATCTATAACTTCGGAAAGACGTGTTCCCTGTACATGTATCGTGTAAAATGACATCTACCAGTTGTTGATATCTCATACCTACATATATCGGTAAGCAATTTAAAACTGTTGTGTTGACCAATTCTCGCTTTTGTGTGAATGGTTTAAGCCTAAAGCGCAATAATTCATATATATCAACATAAGATATGGACAATCAACAAGTATATAGCTACCGTGCTAAAATGCAATTCAAAACTCACAGTCAGTACGGTCAGTTCGCGAACGCACGATACGTAACAGATTATAGACTTCAATAATTTAAAATGCTTATGATTACACTGACATTCAGATTAAGACAACAGAGTCTGCTTTTATAACCAGACATAAAAGAGCGCCCGTTCGAGGTCGCTAATTTTATATAAATTGTTATATATATATATATATATATATATATATATATATATATATATATATATATATATATATATATATATATATATATACGTCGTAGAATAACAGCGGACAGACCCACACCCTATTCGCAACATGATGCACATCGAAACAGAAGGTACGAAAAGTATAAGATTCAGTCGCGTGAACGTGATGTTCAAAACTTGACGAGCTTTTCATTCACCGTGCACGTCGCGCCGCGATATATATATATATTTGAAAATTCTTTAACGACACGACTACATTCACGTACAATACTTACATACCACTCAATTAACAATAATAGCAGTGAATGGTTCAACGACATTAATACGAACGTATTTCTCGGATTTTTAAACAGAATTCGCCTTCCTCGACCATCCTGTTGACAGATGCATCTACAATTACAAATTACGGCAAGAGACTAAAATCGTACGCGCACAATCGTATCCCCGAGTTGACTGGAACTCGCTGTCTGTTATTTCACCTTTCTGGTGTGCCTGACGCGCGAGGCGTTGTGACTCGTTCGCTATCTATAATCATCATGAAAATACTAGATCCGATCACTTACTGGCCTTCGTAAATTTTAACATGCAGGTCTGAATAGACATATATACACATTCACGCTCGCTTTCGCTCGCTTTCGCTCGCTTTCGCTCGCTTTCGCTCGCTTTCTCTCTCTCTCTCTCTCTCTCTCTCTCTCTCTCTCTCGCGCGCGCGCAAACCACGCGCACACGCGCACGCACAAAGAAATACATAAAGAGTGAGAGGGGGAGAGCGAGAGAAAGAGGGGGAAAGAAAAGAGAGACTGAGAGAGAAGCAGAGAAGAAAGCGTGAAAGCGGAGAGAGACAGACAGAGAGTGAGAGAGAGAGAGAGAGAGAGAGAGAGAGAGAGAGAGAGAGAGAGAGAGAGAGAGCGAGAGTTACATGCGCGCGCACACACTCGCACACGCACCCAGTATTGGGGAAATCAATTGATGTTATTAATTATTATATTTTCAATTATCTATAATCTTAATATTAGGTTAATACGAGAAGCAGCATCGATTATGTGCCTCCTAGATTAACTCGTTGCTTTTCCTTACTCTCAGCGCATTTGTAGAATGCGAGATGAGAAACCAGGAGAGGCGAGGTCAGTATAACGCTTGTACCAAAAGGTCCCTAGTGAAAATATTGTGGGGAGCTATCACGATGGTGTCTCCGTCGCAATTTACACATACATCGGATGCACACACACACACACACACACACACACACACACACACACACACACACACACACACACACACACACACACACACACACACACACACACACACACACATGTTGTTGTTTACGTATCCGAGTACGGTGACCATCTCTGCTGTGGTTAGAGCGGTATTCTAAGCAGCCATAGACGGATAATGCTAGCGCTCGCACGTAAATCTTCTTCTTCTCTTAACTTGTTCTTCGTGTGACGATGCGTCGGCATCGTCGAGCTATACTGGACAACATAACTAGGCAACATAAGCTGGACAACATAACTAAGCAACATAAGCTGGGCACATAACTAGGCAACATAAACTGGGCAACATAAGCTACGGTGCACTTCCCACTTCACAGTGTTTATATGCGTCCAAATCCGGATCCTTAACCTCGACAGCTATCATCGACCGGCCAAGGCGCGTAGTAAAGAGCGCGCTGTGGATTAACGAGAGCAGGGGCCTGAAAGGAAAGATTACAGGCGCGCACGGATAGATAGAGGTCGTTGATATGAGAAATCCGTGTAAATCTCAAATCACGTGGTCACCCACACCTCGCATTTCTCCTCTGGATTCATGAATGTTCCGAGAGCGCAATTGTAGAGTTCGGAAAATTCCTTCGAGTTGGTTAAGCTGCCTATGACACTGAGAACCAATAGAGGAATCATTCATGGGTGCCTTCGACATACTACTCATCTATTTAGCTATCTATCTTATCTTATCTTATTTTATTTTATCGTATCTATCTATATATCTATCTATCTATTATGTCTATCTAATCTATCTATCTATCTATCTATCTATCTAGTCTATCTAGTCTAATCTATCTATCTTATCTATCGTATCTATCCTATCTATCTATCTATCTATCATCCTTTATCTATTTATCTATATATCTATCTATCTATATATCTATCTATCTATATATATACTATATAGTATATATATACTTTATATACATAATATAGTGTAGTCTAGTCATCATGGCATATGGCGCCCGGGTACGTGCGTGCGTTTGCACGTGTGTGCACTACTGTTGTGTTATTAGCTCTCACAGCATGTATATCAATATTTCACATACTCATTTAAATTACCATTAATGCTACCAGCTACCCCTGGATGTAGCTACTAGTTATTTACACACGCGCATAACGTGTAGAATATAATCATATTCGTGAAACATCATGCATGTCAGCCTTTGCGCATAGAAACATGATAGAAGCGCATTGTAATCGGACTCAGAGTAGTCAATCGATCCATGTATTTTATTTATATTATAGACGGACAAATTGAAACCCATGAACCACAAGTGTACGTCGTAATCACGTCGAAAGCTGTTTATAATGATGGCGAGTAGGAGAATATTATAAATTTTAATGATATAATATCTATTACGATGTAATCAGGACTATAATGAGGAAGGAGTATCTACCGGTATTCGCCTGGGCTGTGGACGTCGGCTTTTATCGCCTCTTCAAACCCTTCTTTGCTTCTCATTTCGCAAAACAACTGAAAAAACATTAGGTGTTCCCATTTCAAACGGCAGCGGAAAAAAAGTAATGGCACTTGTAAATCTGTATTCGTGATATTCGTTATTATCGTTATAAATCTCGTTAAATTTAAGATGCAAGTAATTTGTGTGCATTCGTGCGTGCGCGTGTGTGCGCGCGTATCTGTGTGCGGGCGCGCGCACGTGCGCATATGTGTGTTCTCCGTAGATTCTCACCTGCGCGTAGTTGAGGAAGAACAGCTGGTTCGGGCTGAGGTCGAGTCCTGGTAGACGACTCTCTTCGCTATTTGAACCTATCTGTTGACGATATGCCTGCGGATGTTTTCGAATATAAAGTCGAAATCTCGTCGCCGAATATATACGTTGAAATATCGAACATCGCGTGCGGATATAACATCGCGTAGAAGACGACGACGGTCAACGTACCTTTCCGCGTAGTCTGATTATGAACGCTATTTATCCGTCTTTTCGTCTCGAGAAAGATATAAATTTGTATGGATGTCCAATCCGCTTTGAACAACTCACCCAGAATGCCTGCTTGAGTGCACCGTTGTCGGCAATGTTTTCACCCAAAGTGTAATTCCCGTTGAGCTACAAAACACGCGAAGACGTCAAAGTAAGAAAGATTCACAGACCGATGAAATACCCACTTATACGTAAAAATTGATAACTGCATTATAATGGGAATTGTGAGTAACGTTGAACTACGTGACATCGATATGTTTACCAATAAAAGAAGCTGTATAACATGATTAAAAATGATGGGGACCACAGTAAGAAAATTGACAATAACAACCGAAGGAGCGCAAAGCTAATGAAGATCTATGGCGATTGAAATTCTGGCGTTACGCAAAGATGCTTTAGTTATGTCAGTCGACCAGAGGAAACGAGTGACGATAAAGAGAACCCCCTATAACAATTAACTATGAATACTAACACTGCCAACGTCTTCGATATTGTATTCCGAATATTGATCAATGATGCATTTTGCTTTCTCGTTGAATGCTTCAATATCTTGTTCTGGCCACCATTCTGTCAGGTTTCCGTTTTTGTCATACTTCCTACCTATTACAAAATCGAGTAAGTGTTTAAGACCATTTCCACCACAACTGCTATTGGTGTCGCCTATATAACTTTGTGCAGTGTAGTGCTTACGATATTATATGCTACTCGATAGTTTCTAGTTCAAAGTTTGCACACGCTAAGCCTGGCTTTTAAATGATGGACGGCAACTATATTTATAGCTGCTTGGCGTAATCGCCATATAACAACGACGCTATAACATTGTCGTATACACTGTTTTTGCAAAGCGGTTTCTCACCGTGAACGAGTATTACGAAACCTCCAAATTCAAACTATATAATTATGTAACTGATCAGGTATGGGAAACACAACTGAGCTGCTTGGCGTGATTATGCGAGGTATACATAAGCTACACCGTTAAAATATATAGCTAAAATATTACAAATTAATATTACAATAGACATTCTTATTATAAGCCATATTATCGTGATATTATTATGATTACTGTCACAATTAAAGCGAGTGAGATTTCCATCGGTATAGCATAGCATACGTCTTTGGTATCGGATTAGCAATATAAGATCACCTGAGTCATCGAAACCGTGTGTTATCTCATGCCCGATAACAATTCCTATGCCACTATAGTTGATGTACTTAGGTGCGTACCAGTTGTAGAAGGGCGGTTGAAGAATGCCAGCGAGGAACACTGATGACAACATAGTCAGAAATTAACCGTACGCACCAGCCAATGTGCCTGTGCCTGTGAACTTAACGCGTGCATGATTGTGAACGAGCGTGAATGCGTGTGTGAATGTATCTGTGTGTGTATGCGCGCGTGCGTGTGCGTAGGTCCGTGGTCGCCCGCGAGCGCGTGTGTACATATGCGTGCGCGCGTGTGCGTGCGCACATGTGCGTGCGCACATGTGCGTGCGTCAGTGAATGCGTACTTCAGTGTGTGTATGGGGGAGGGTGATTGCATTTGTGAACGTATCAGCATATGAGTGTGTACGCATGTCTGTGTGTGCGCGAGTTGCGTATTCGTGTATGTTGGTATGCGAAAGGCAGATGTGTATACCGTCAGCAGGAATCATATATAACCCCTATAATGATAAATTCAATCATCTATGACTATAACGACCCGTGTGTGTACTACGTGAAATTAAATATACCGTGTCTAAATTCCACGAAATGTCACAACCCGCGTTAGTACAAAATAAATGACAATAATTATTCATCAAAATAAAACACAAATTATCAATCTTTTTTAATGAATGAATGAGGGAGATGTCGCGCTTTTGGGTACTTACCTATTTGGTTCCACATGCTATAGTAGTAAGCATTCGGGTGGATTATTGGAGAGATGCCCCTGCAACATTAACAACCGTATTTTAATGATATAGTATGGCTTCGCTGCGTGCGTAAAACCATGTTATTACATGCGCACATAATTTGTAAGAATAATAACTTTCATTAGACGTAATTTGTTTTCAAAATCACGATCTGCTTTAGTTATATTCGGATTTATAGTATACATATCCGTTTGTCTTTAAATATCTGACACTCACTTGTTTCTATCCACTGGGTTACGTAATTGACTAAACTCTTCTTTGGCAAGAAATCGCTCCAAATTGAGAGCATTGCCGAAAAACGTGTCCTCCGCTACGTGAAGCTGCAATTAACACGATAGATTCTAATTAATACACGCGTGTACGCCGGAATATCAAATACCAGACTAGATTGCTGCCCTCCTAGGCATAGCCTATACTTATATCGTAGCTTGATTTATTGTCGCTGCATTAGAGAAAAAGCGATGCCCTGCAGAATTGTAACCGCAGTGCAAGCTGCTATATTGATCGGGAAGTGATTGGACTCGCATGCTGAAGCCTATTTTGCATAATGGGGACTTGTGTCGTATACGCAACCAAGTGTCGCATATCATTAACAGCAGCACGTTATAATATATCAGTTAAGATGGTTCAGTATACAAAGTAAAGAACGGCGTAAGCGAATATTGTTAGCGGTAGCGAAGCCCCGAGTTCACTCTGAGAAGCCATCTTTGAGAAGCAAATGCATATTCGGTTACTCCGTTAACGCTTTTGCTAGATATCGCATCCGCATGACAAGATAGAATTACTCTCATTACCATCCGTTGCCGGCTCTCGTATAACCTGATTTACCTGATTTACTTGATTCCACCCCTCACCTGCCTCACCTGTAGGTTTGGAGTGAATCGAAGAGTAAGAAAACTACGTTCTTGGAAAGCTTACCGACGTTCGTGCGTGAAGCCTGCTAGCTAGACTCGTTTGTCTCTGTCACACAACACTTCAGAGAGGTCTAGCAGACCGCAATTGCGAAATCAGGTGCACTAACTCGATAACGTGGTCAGACGGTGTTCCGTTCTAGTCTGCCTCTTAGCAGAACACACATTTCCTCCTTGTCAATTTTGCTCAGTCAATGAGGAATTAATTGTCGTTTTCTAGGGGCGCGTTCAGCTCTAGCCACTTCTCTAGAGAGCACTCGACAATGAAACGCAACGTAGATTATACACACTGTGTGCACAGCACCGCCTGCAGAGCCACGCAGTGCCCTGGGAAAATAAAGAGACGAGAGAGACAGAGAGAGAAAGAGAGAGAGAGAGACTGACACAGACGAACAGAGACACACAGACAAACACGTGCACGCACGTACGCACGCGTATACACACGCGCGCGCAGAGAGAGCGGGGAGAGAGACACACAGACGGGCAGACACAGAGACAGAGCGAGTGACAGACAGGGGCAAAGAGATGAACAGAGAGAGAAAAAGAGAGAGAGAGCGAGACAGAAAGAGAAAGAGAGAGAGAGAGAGAGAAAGAGAAAGAGAGAGAGAGAGAAAGAGAGAGAGAGAGAGAGAGAGAGAGAGAGAGAGAGAGAGAGATAAATGCGTATTGCGGGTGAACCATGCCCTCGAACGCAATTAACCCAGATCGATCGCCTATCAATATCAAACGATGCCCATTTGACATGATAACTTCGTCATCAGTCTGCGTGTATACATGCATGTATACCGCGCGTGCGCTGTACCAACATGTTCTGCTTGCATCTATGACAAATACGACATATGCATATACGCTCTCCTACGATACTATTTGTCATAGGAAGATTTTTCTTATGACAAATATTGGCGAGTCAAATTCGTTTCGCTTTGCAGCTGAAATTCACTGCTTGCGTTCATAATAGCGCTCCTAAACTCCTATGATGCGCACAACACATGCAACAATATTTGTCATAGGAAGAATCTTTCTATGACAAATAGTTTCATAGGAGAGCGTATATGCGTATGTCGTATTTGTCATAGATGCTAACAGAACAGGCTGGCTGTGCGGTAGGCGCGGTAGCTAGGCACTCACCCAAGTGTACATTTGTCCCAGGCGCTCAGAATCCATCACCTCGTCAGGATAGCCAATCAACTTCTCTATTGCGCGTGCCTGCAGGACACGACACAAGCGTCATGAGAAACACGCGAGGCGAGGCGGGCCAAAACAAGACGTTTAGTGAACGAACTTTTAGTAACGTTATCAGGCGGTGGTTCGTACGCCCGCTCGCGTCTCATCTGGTTTGCGCAGTTTTTCCCAGACTATTTCCTTTTCGCCGGGCCTGGCCTTAATCACATTTTTTTGAATTTGTTGTAAATTTAAAAAGAAATGCGTAAAACGTGAGTGATAACAGCACTATATTCTCAAGTATGTATCTTTCCGGTATGTACTTCTCAAGATATAGTCAATATATATGTATAGTTCTCAAGAGTATATTTGGAAAATATTTCTGCATAAAATTGAGTTTAGATTAGGTAAACCTACAAAGCAAACGACGATTTGTCTCTTTTGTGCGTACCAAAGCTACTCACTATACAATCAGTGTATGCTGTGGAAAATACGTAAAATCACGAGTGTATTTGCAAAGAACGAAACGGGAAAATATAGGCATGAACAAAATCGCATAATTCTATTTTCACAGCTAGCATCATAACAGGCGAGGTAGTCCCTTTAACAGATAATAACTTAAAATGCTAGCATCAAGAGAGGCGAGAGTCCTTCTAACAGCTAATAGATTACACTGCAGAACGTAATGATATTTCATGTCTTTAACGATGAAATAGTATCAGGGAGATTAGGGCCGGATCTAGCTTTCAGGAGACGGGGGGGGGGGTGATATTTGAGTGAAAGAGTGACGCAGGCAAGCGGTGCTAGGGTGGCCCCTAATTAGTGAATAATAATATGGTTTATCTATATTAATAATCTATTAATAATCTATTATTATTCACTCCTGATAACATTAGTCAGTGGCTGAGCGGGAGGGGGAGGGTGCACCCCCCCCCCCAACCCCTTCTAGATCCGCCACTGGAGATGTTCGAATGCACGTATAACTGATACCTTGTCACATTATATGTTGTAAGTACCCATGAATGCCCTTTGAAGGTTTCGTTTAGTACTCGCCTTTTCTTCGCTAGCAACCTTTGTTTCCTCATCAGCCCAGTCCAGGTTGTGCAAAAAGTGTAGAAACGCCTCTACTATTGTGTTGATGATATCAGTTACCTGTTTTTTTAAATAGTAAGATTCACCATATCTTTGTAAAAAAATAAAGAACTCTCTGCAATATTTGATTCTATGAAGACAACTGTCCCCGCTATACGTTTAATAACATTATTCGATGAGAAGAAGCAAGTAAATTGCAATAGTATTTTTTAAAGTGCACAATAATTTTGTACTTTCAATAATTCACGCGTGGAATTACATTATTATTGTTATTATTATTATTATTATTATTATTATTATTATTATTATTATTATTATTATTGTTTCCGAAGTGGATCACGACATTAGCCGGTGGCTTCTGGGTTGGCCGTGTCCCAACCTGAGACATAGGGATTAAATCCAGAATTTTTATTATTGTTATTATACGTAGTAGTAGTAGTAGTAGTAGTAGTAGTAGTAGTAGTAGTAGTAGTAGTAGTAGTAGTAGCAGCAGCAGAAAGCAGCCGCAGCAGGCAGCAGCAGCAGTAGTAGTATAGTAGTAGTAGTAGTAGTAGTAGTAGTAGTGTAGTAGTAGTAGTAGAGTATCGTAGTAGTAGTATAGTAGTAGTTAGGAGGTAAGTACTAGTAGTAGTAGAGTAGTAGTAGTAGTAGTAGTAGTAGTAGTAGTAGTAGTAGTCGTCGTCTTCGTCGTCGTCATCGTCGTCGTCGTTGTCGTAGTGATGGTATTCTTATTATCATCATCATCGTCATCTTATATCTAGTGTTTATATATTTACATACATGACCCTTGGCTTCCATGTGGAAATGTTCCCTGATATACATGGAGCCGACAGCCATGTCCATCATTCGGACCACGTTGAACACGCACTCACGCCACCTGGGCCGAGATTTCGAATCTGTCTTGTATAAGGTATCGTAGAACACGTAATGGAGGTCGTGAAAGCGCTGATCAAGGCGAATAATCGTATTCTCGACAAATCGCCAGATGATGTAGTTAGCCATTGTTCTGAAAGATTAAGGAATGCACCTGCGGCTTGCTGCGTCTCGTCCAGGGCATTGTGCAGCCCATAAACGGTTATGTGTTAACAATGCCCTACAGACCTCCAAGCTTAGCGCAAATACGGGCACTCGCATACGCAGGCGTGCACGGATGTACGCACAATGAACTAACGCACGTAAATATGCTCCGCAGGGCGAGAGCGCATACAGGCGCGCCCGCGGTCATCTAGTCCCAATATTGAATTACCTTTTCGGAGTGTTTAGCACCAACTGGCCAATCTCCATCATGAACTCAACGGATTTCACAATAAGTTCCTCGTCTTCAGTGATTACGATTTCTGGTGATATCTCAAATATGTGTTCAAACAACCGTAACCAATGAATCTGCGAACAAATCATGGAACCATGTATAATATCGCCACCTCCTGTCAACTGGCGAGAATTAAGGACTATAAAAATATTGGGTGCAAAACCGAGACAGAAATATTTCCGACAAAGTGAATCGCAACCAGCCATGATGTCATTTCGAGCTTACAAAGACTATTTTATATATAATATAATATATATAATAAGCTCTATATCTCTATATCTATCGCCGTTGCTTCCATGCGACTCGAACCCCTCAAGTGTTGTGACCTTATCCTTACAACCTGGACTGATGAAAGCACATCACCCATTACCAACAAGACAGCTTGTAACGTAAGCGAATATTATCGACTACAACATATATAAAATTATTAACGCGCGCGCGTGCGTGCGTGCGTGTGTGCGTGCGTATATGTCTGTGTGCGTGCGTATATGTCTGTGTGCGTGCGTGTGTTTATGTGCGCGCTTGCGTGCTGTGGTGAGTGGGGTTGATATTAACCGCCATTCGTGACAACACCAACTTCGCCAGACGAAAAAACGCGAGGAAAATTATTTGAGACGCTTCTCGGCTTACATCCGGGCACCAGCACAATGGCGTCGCCGCAGCGCACGAGAGATGCATGCAGGCAGCAGCGCACCGTGACAATCGGCCCCTCGCCGCGCGCCGCAACGCGCAGAACAGAGCCGCGCTCGTTTACAGACTGACAGTCGCCTGGTAGATAAATCTCCGATGAGCTTCATTAACTTTACAATTGCGTCAATCGCTCGTGATCGCGCCAGCTCTGGCTCCTCGGGCGCGTGTCGGGCGCTCATGCAGCCACTCGCGTCCCATTGGCATGTAACTTCACGAAACAAATCAAGGCGGGCAAACTAAGCGCTTCGACGCCAAAATGCCTCACTAGTATCGCGCGAAAATTTTTGCCGCTCCGTGGCCTGGACGCTAAATTGTTGTTTCTGTCGGATATTAACGCTATTGGCTTTGTGTGGAACCCAGAATTACACTGAATAGATCCAGATTCGAAGCCCCGCGAAGCTGTGTAAATTGCGCACGATGATATCGCTGCCCTGGGAAAAAATAAAGCCGAGACGTAATGAGCAGGGGCAAGTAGCTAGTGCGTGTGTGTAGTCTGACACTGCATGTGCGTCGTCACTGCTAGGGCGCTAACGATTTGACGCGTTACTTGCGCGGCACATGTCAGGCTTTGCACGCGAACACGCACACGCACACAAACATCCGCGCACGCGCACGTAAACGCGCACGCGCATGCGCACAAACATGCATATGCACGACGTGAGCACGCACGCAAGTATATATACGTAGAACGTCAATTTCACAAGCTGTAGCTCACCTATATCGGGTTACTGCAATAAATGCAAATAAGATCATCTTTCGATGAAATCCGAATGCGTTTTATTTGATCGCAAGCAGAATTAAAGGAACGAGCTAGCCCGATGAATAGCGACAAAAAATTACCTAGCTATTATGTCCTGCTAACGATATTAAAGTTTTCATGTCATGTGAAGTTAATTTCAGTACATTTTATTGCAACCAGCACCGTCTCTTAGTGCCAAATGATAGTATGAGAAGCGGATAAGCTAAAAAAAAACATGTTCTTTTAAGAACACCACTGTCTCATTATGTGGTTAACAGGATGAATGTCGTACCAAAATTGTTGTAAAATCATGTTCGTCTCGGCATAAAAGCATTGTTAGCCGCCAGAGTGCTTCTATCATATGATGGCGCTACATTTTGCAAGCATGCAGTGACCTATGGAGGCAGAGTCGGTTGCCTTGGTGGCGGTGTTTCTTTGTTGTAAACGCATATATGTTTTGCAACGGAATAAGCAACTAATAATGCGAAATAACATCACATGGTTCCTCATCAACAAATTAGCCATATTTCGTAATAGGTGACGATATTTGTGGGATCTTGTGAGGCGAAGATTTTAACACTAGACCAGACTAGTCACACATCGAGCGCTCAAAGTACTCCCGCAAGGACGGTGAAAATCAAGCGCAGGCGAGAAACGACGTGGCGAAACATGAGAATCACTATTGGGGTTTCTTTAATCTAATATATAGCGTGTACACTATACAGGTTCAGCACATGTGTTCATACACATCACGAAATCGACGTAGCACGTGTATTCATTAGAGCTATAATGGGGGTTCACCTGTGGAACGAGTTCTTGTAGCTCTGCTATCGTCAACTTATTGTATCGCTCCTCCTCTTTGCCTCGCATTTCCATCCAGGGCAGCGTAAGCTGTAAATACAGAGACCCCTTTAGAGCACTTACTAGTTTTTATCCAACCAGTCTAGAACATAACTGGATTATCCTGTCACACACCGAAGATTATTCTTCCTCCCAGCGCCGCAAAGACGTATAAAAGCATCGCTGTATAATAAAAAATTAATATATAAAAGTATGCTCGCTGTGCCACACTGTGCGTAACTAGTTAAATTCGACAATGACTTTTACACTTGAAAAGCCCTTTGGTCTTCGGCGGATCTTGCTAATTTGATAATTAGCGAATGTTGTGCATTGCGCGATGATGCTCGTGTGTACTTTCAACATCGGTAGGAAGCTGAATTGCTGACTTCGCCCACCCCAAGTGCGTAGTCAGAACCCCCGGGGACTTGATCCCAGCTGGTGGCTCTAGTAGTACTTCTGAACGTCATAATATAATTCTCTCTCTCTCTTTCGCTTTTTTCCCCATCTTTATATATATATATATATATATATATATATATATATATAGATAGATAGATAGATAGATAGATTAGAGGTAAAAACATAACGGGCACCATGAAAATACAGATGAAAATATATAAATAGAATAAAATAGAATGAGGTGTCAATGTTTTCTTTTCTCTCTTTCTGTTGTTATCACTCTCTCTCTCTCCCCTCCTGCTCTCTATCTCTCCTCTCTCTCTCTCTCTCTCTCTCTCTCTCTCTCTTTCTCTCTCTCTCTTTTTCTCGCTCTCTCTCTCTTTCGCTCTCGCGGCCTTGCTCTCATTCTCTCTCTTTTCTCTCTCTCTCTCTCTCTTCTCTCTCTCTCTCTCTACTCTCTCATATTATATATATATATATATAAATTATATATATTCTAATGTTTCTCTAATTAATTCATTTGTGACAATATTCTCGCCATCTGTGATACTAACGTTTGCGATTTCCTTCTCCAGCTCTAGCACGGCCAGCATCTCGTCCCACACGCGGTCGTGGTCGTCTCCGCCGAGCAGCATCACCGTGTCCACCATGAACCTGTGGTAGGCCTCCATGTAGCCGACGTACTCCGCGTTGCTGTCGTTCAGGTACAGGTCACGCCGCAGCGTGAGCATCGCCTGGTCGACCTGTTCGTGAGAAGACGCGTTGTCACTGATGAGCGGCGAGCATCGCAGACTACGGTCCCGCGCGTGACACGGGCCGATGTGACGCGAGGCGATATACGAGAAGATATTAAGCAATGCGACGTTTTATTGCAAAATTGGGTGTGCTTGGTAGATGGGTGGCACTTTCAGGCACCATCTAGTGGAACTTCGGCCAGAATCCGAAACAAATTCGTGCGAATCTAGCATTGACTCGTAACGCTAACAAAACGTTCGTTCGATAGTAGAAACGAACGCATCGATAGCTCTGTCTTGCGCTATCATACCGCATCGACACGGTCTACGCTAGCAATGACAATAGTGTGTTTACATTTAAATGCTTTAGTTCGAGCATGATTCAAAGCGCACTTCTGATATTTGTCGGTGGTTCCTCAGTGCCTAAATGGGCGTCGATTGTAATTGCATCATGCTGAAGCGAATTCTGCAATTCTGCATGCACTCATGTGACTGCCACGAAAATCATAGAATTATACTTGACGTGCCTACGTGAAAGAGATATTTAGTGCAGTCTATTACCCGCCCTATGCGACGCATGCTATCGCCCGCTAACACGCGCATTACGAAAATAATCTCTTTGCGTCGTTAAATCTTCAGTCCACTCTTTCCGAGATCCACACCCCGACAATGAACTCGACGCTCACAGCTAAGTGCTGTCTCATGATTCCGCGCCATGCTTGATCACGTGCGCCAGGCTTGTCGTTTGCGTTCGTCATTGTCGCGACGGCTCGCGAGCCCGGCGACAGGTAACGCGACACCGCGAATGATCGCGCGTCTGCGAGCTACGCTGCTAGCGATTTACCTTGCTTCTCTGTTAGCGATATGCACTAGTTGGCGGTATTCTCACAGACGGCTGCGTTGCATCACGTTACATCGCATGTGTCGTTTTTATTATAT